CATTATTAGTCATTTTAGAACAACAAGTAGTCCTGTGATACCTTAGAGACTAACTCACATATATATACATATACATATATATAATCATGAGCTTTCATGGGCAAAACCTACTTCTTCAGCTCTTGAGACAGTAATTTTGGTGCCTCATATTTTTTCTTAGGGGGTGAGGAAAGGCAGACCCCAAGCTGGTACTTGGAAAGGTATGATTTCCTGAAATTACTGAGTACCCATCTCATGTCTCCAAGAGAGCATATACAAATTGAGGTATCCGTTTTTTAAAATCTCTGTCATTATGTGTGAAATGCTTGGTAGAAAAAAAATCCAGAAGGAATTGGCCCTTTCTCGGATGCCCTTTGAACAAGGGCAATCATCACTTTGCTCCTCCATCCCACCTTAATGTGCCTGCAGGTTTGTCAAGACAGGCATCTAATTTACACCTATGCAATTTGAAGTAAAAGTCAACTTAGCTCACATGAATGGCACACAAAGATAAGCTGCAAAGTGAGTAAATAAGGGCGGGGAACTCCAAAAAGGCTACTTGGCTATTTTCAAACACTTTTTTTAATACAAAGAAAACTCATTGTTCAAACTGTCTCACTGGCAACCCAATATAAAACCCACTGAAGTCAGTGGCAGTCTTTCCAGTAACTTCAGCGGCTTTTGGATCAGTTGCTAGTTGCTAATAGGCAGCACAGTGACAAAAATAGACAAAGCTATCCAGGAAAAAGACACATATTTGCAATTATTTTTTTTAATTAATGCCAATAAAACTAGAAGCTTCTGGTAATTTGTGAACCTGATCACTTGGTGCTGCATTCTCATCTGTTCTGCAATGATAATTATGTTTACTGTGGGAGTTGAAGGATGATGGAAACTCCAGGAGCAGATAAAATGTTTCTATTTTTGGCACCGTAACGATAGAGTATCTATGCACCACAACAGATGGAGCAAAAGCCCTTGAAGTGGTATTGTTGAAATAGCTCTGAGACCTGTCATCTGCTCAGAGCCTGTTCATAAACCATCACTAAGTAGTTTCAGGTTTATAAAGCAAGATCCTGCCAAATATCCACTGCAGCTGTGTTTTAACTAAAATCCAAGAGGGAAACAAAGTAGGTAAGCAGCAGTCTGCATAAGGGAATGTTTTATGTCATGTTGTTCACAGGAAAAATTATATTCAGTTCAGGTAAGTGCCACCTATAATTAAGCTTGCAAGACATTTTCCTTTATAAGACCTTATTTTTAGTTGCTGCCAAATTTCAGTACTTTGGGCTAAAATTTTCCAAATAATGCATTCCAAAGTTCATCTGTTCCAAATAATGCATTAGAGAGAAATAGGGTTTATCTGATGCTAAAATATTTTTTACAACTGTTTTGGTGAGATGGTCCAGTGTCTCCCTGTTTTGGAACTTTGGGATTTTGATGTGGGTGTGGAGGGGAATGCCTTTTCCCATCCTAGTGAAAATGTGCCCAAACCTGGCCAAGTTATTAGCCTCTGAGAACTCCATTAACAGATGCTCAGTAGAGATTTGTTAGTTTGACAGTTACATTCTCTGATGATTCCATATGGACTGAACATGTGCCATCACCTCCCTGCTTCTATGTCCCAGCTGGAGTGAACATGCACTATCCCCTCTGCCATGTATATTGACCAAATCGGACAGTTTCTGCAACAAAAAATAAATGGTCACAAATCAGACATCACAAATGGTTGCACACAAACCTGTAGGGGATCATTTTAACCTCCCTGGCCATTCTATAATGGATTTAAAAGTAGCCACTCTTCTATAAAGGAATTTCACCACCCAGTTACAGAGGAAAACTGCTGAACTGGAGTTCATTTGCATGTTTGACACTATCTCCCTAGGCTTGAATAAAGATATTAACCGGTTAACTCACTACAGATTGAACCTCTCTAGTCCAGCACTGTCTAGTCCAGCAACATCTGTGGCCTGGCATGATTTTAGTTAGTCGGATATCCACTTACCATGGTTGTGGTCAAGTTTCTCACAGGCCCATAAAGTTGGTTGCAGCCGCTAGTCTTGGCTCTCAGTATTCTGTGCTGGTTTTTTAGCTAATTTACCCCTAAATGTCTTCTAAGAGTCCAGTAAGCAGTGGAAGTGTTGGTAATGCTGCTAGACAGTATTGACCTCCTGTGGTCTAGCAAATTCTCTGGGTTGGCACTGGTCAGGTACCAAGGTCTAGAGAGGTTGAACCTGTACAAAGGCAATTTCCCATGCCTTTGACATTCACATCAATAGCAATGAATGGGACACTGCCAGCCTATTTAACAAGGGACCTACATTCACAACAAGGGACCTACATTACCTTCATTTACAAGAGACCTACAATTCACAGGTAACTGTTTTTGCTGTTATATATATCTTAGATTCTGTATTTCCACTCTAACTCATCTGATGAAGTGGGTTTTACCCACAAAAGTTTATGATCCTTTGTTAGCCTCTAAAGGTATGTCTACACTAGCCCCCTAATTCGAACTAGGGAGGCTAATTTAGGCATTTGAAGTTGCAAATCAAGCCTGGGATTTAAATATCCCGCACTTGATTTGCATCTTCCCGGCCGGTCACCATTTTTGAAATTTACAAGTCCGGACTAACTGCCCGCGTCTACACGCGGCAGGGACCCGGTAGTTCGAATTAAAGCCCCTAAATAGAACTACCTGTTAAACCTCCTTGCAGGAGGAATACTGTAACAGGTAGCTCAATTTAGGGGCTTTAATTCGAAATACCAGGTCCCTGCCGCGTGTAGTTAGTCCGGACTTGTAAATTTAGTCCGGACTTGTAAATTTCAAAAATGGTGACCGGCCGGGAAGATGCAAATCAAGTGCGGGATATTTAAATCCCAGGCTTGATTTGCAACTTCAAATGCCTAAATTAGCCTCCCTAGTTCAAATTAGGGGGCTAGTATAGACATCCTCTAAGGCACCACAGGACTACTCATTTTTACAGTTACAGACTAACACGGTTACCCCTCTGAGACATCCACATAATGAGCGTGCTTCAGCCCCAGGCTGCAGGGATGAAACAGGATTTTGTTTTGCTCCTTCCAGTGACTGAAGGATTACTATAGCACTGGGCAACAGAACTGAGAGCAGAGAGGCAGTGTGTCCAGTGCTCTCAGAACTCCTGCTGCATCTGGTTCTATATGAAAAAGCAGGATATGATCATGTAATAACATAAGTTAAAACTGTATTGTTATACACATGCACAGATATATACTTCATGCCTTATCCTCCACTTCTGTGCACTTTGTGTTGTCATTTACACTAGTGCAAACCACAACCAAACTAGAATTCTCCACTGCCCCAGGTGGTAGGTGGAGATTAGGCCAGATATTTTCTGGCCAACCTATTCCTCACTCTCATGCTAGAGTTATCACTGCAACGTTCCTGTATCTCGGGTCTGACTGCAAGGTAAATGTGATGGCGCCACTGCTTTCCTCCTGTAGGGGCTGCTGCTATGCTGACCTTTTCTCTCTCTGAATTCTCACCTGCCAGCTATTCCACCTTCCTCCTGCAGTGTTTATATTGGTGGGGCCTGGAGAAGAAGTCAGCTTCACAGAGCTGGCTGTAAGGGATAGAAGAGGGGCTTATGCTGAGCACAGGCGTGGGAGGAAGGAGGACATGGCAATGGAGGAGTAATTTTGAAGGTGTGCAAAGTGGGATAGCTCTCCACTTCTGCTTGTGGCCTCTCACAGCAGCTGTCCCCTAAAATCCGTCACCTTCTTGTGCGACTGGGTGAGTGTAAAAAGAATTGGTGTTTGCCTTTCTTATACACTCAGTTTTTCCATTTAAGACCAACTCCTTTGTATAGTGTAGTCTGTTATGAGCAGTAAAGACTTTTGGGGACCCCCAGGGTCATGGTTCACCCACCTCCCAGTTTCCCTATAAAAGCATGCAGTGTCTGGAAAGGAGGCCTCTGAAGCCTAGGGGTCTTGCCCTCCTATGCTGAAGGCACTGCTTAATTTGTGGCACAGCTGGCACCACTAGGTTTGGCAGCTCCGGACTTGCCACGACAGGTAGGAATGTAAAAAAAAAAATTATTTGAGCCCTGGCAGCTCTTTGGTTATAAAGTAAGCACTGGCTGAAGAGGTAGGAAACTGGAGCAGCTGGATCCAATCACTAGGAGCTGCTGCTAAGAGGCAAACTGGGCTGACGGTGAGTGCTGCTCTAAAGAGACACAGCCTGTCAAGCCCAGGTGGGAAGGCTTTCTAACTGTAAGTAGTTTGCTTTCTGTTGTGAGCGTTGTCTTTCGAGTAAGCACCCCCAGAGATGAGCAGCCTGCTGAAGAGCCCCTTCCTGGGTGCTGGCTCTGAGAATAAGCTAACTGCTTTTCCAAAGAAGGGCTCGTCCCACTCACCCCTGGAATGACTGTTTCCCCGGACAGCAGCTCACCTGAGTTAGAGGCTTGCTCTGCAGTCTGGAGAAAGCCAGAAGCTCTATAGCTTTCAGTGCAATGGGGAATCCCCTTTCAGCCCCACATGCAGGTCATGAGGTAGTGTGTGGGGCAGCAAAAAGCTGCTCCTGCTGGCCTTATGCTGCTCCTGTTGTGCTGGTGGGGGGTTCTCCTCTGGCTTCTTGTGGCTCAGGTAGGCACCTCAGTACAGTGTTGGGGCAGTGTACAGGGAAGTAGGGTGATCTGTTGCCCTCTTGGGTCCTCCCCCAAATGAGATCCATCTTTCTGATTAAGCTGGCTCAGGGTGAAATTTATCCTGCTCCCCGGGATCTCTACAGCCTTCTCTACCACTCCAAGCCACCTCGGTGGTGCTACAGGGCCTTTGTCCAGGGCTACATTTAATATCCAGTGAACAAAAATTCTAAACGAATAAAGTAAAATAGAGCAAATCTATTTTGTCTTCAGCAGATCTAGCACGCAAGGAGCTTGTTGCTTCAGTACTAAATTACTGGAATGAATCCTATTAAAATGAGGCTTATATTGAGCCATGGAGACATTGCAAAGATACAATAATGTAGCTCAGCTTACTGCAGTAGAAGCATGTCTTGTGAAAACTCCTGCCATTGCACTGGATTTCCTCAGCGTGATACACTGACTTGTCACAAGCACCACATTTGGCTCCACCTCCCCAGTTCGGCATCTTTCAGTTGGAAGTGTTACCTAAAAAAAAATAATAATAATTTAACTGTCAGCAGAAACTGTCCAGTCTTAATTAGTGATTTGGATTCTCCTTTTGTGTCCAGTCAGCCCCAAAGCCAGCCGAGCTATCCACATAAGTATTGCCGCAGGGACTGTAGACTAGTGGCAAAGAGTTGGCATAGTAACTCCTATGCTGGTCTGTCTCCCTGAGGCTGCCATATGAGTATTACTGGGGAGGGTGGGGAGGAGGGGGGAGAGGAAGAGGCATTGCCAAGACTTCCATATGTCCTGGAGAACTCTGGCTGCTATAATGTCCCTCAGGGACCTTTGGTAGCCAGCGCTAAGGGTTGGGGGGGTCACCACACTCCAGCTAGTGCTGAGGGCCAGCTGCCCTTGGTCCCACTCCTTCCAGAAGTGCACAGCTGTCCCCTACACCCTGCCCAGGACCCATGGAGGCTATCAGCTCTGCTGGTGATCTCTGGCAAGTCACTCCATGTGTAAAACAGGAAAACACGACTACCTTTCTCACAGCGATACTGTGAAGATTGCAAAAGCGGCAAGGAGTCCTGTGGCACCTTATAGACTAACCGAAGTGTTGGAGCATAAGCTTTCGTGGGCAAAGACCCACTTCGTCAGATGCATGTGTGGGTCTTTGCCCATGAAAGTTTATGCTCCAACACTTCGGTTAGCCTATAAGGTGCCATAGGACTCCTTGCCGCTTTTGCAGATTCAGACTAACACAGCTACCTCTCTGATACTGTGAAGATTGTGACTTGCTCAAATTCTATGGTATAAATATGGTTAGGGGCCCATAGATAATATCGAGGCTATCTAGGGAGGCTGTACTTTCCAAAGATTACATTTTCCTTTCAAAGCTGCTTTGCTGTAGTGCTGGCCTTGTCCATTAACTTCCATAACCATTGTGAGGCAGAGGGTTATGGAGGACCTGGATCCAATAAATAATTCAAAGCTTAGTGTGGTGGTGGAGTGGGGTTACAAGTGAATCTGAGGATAGAAATTGGCCTTGTATATTTTCTAGGTACCAAGCTTATCTGTCAAGGAATACCATATTTTACTGTTTTATTAACCTTTTTCAAAGCAATCGTTTTATTCCAGGTGTTCTTGCTTACTAACCAAAGTGTAAAGGAAATCTCCTGTACCCATATTTCTTTAAACTGTATGATATGATTGATTGTGAAGTTAGACTGAGGAATTCATACTTATAACATTTAATCTTACATGTAATATTATTTTGGTGGCATTTTCATGGATACATGTTGTTCATCCCTCTGAATTATGGAAACACAATAGATGCAACAGCACTACTACCCAGTCAACAATAAATGATAATATTTAGTTGTTCTGAGGGTCTTTACACAGGGATCTCAGAAGTGATTTGCAAAAGAATGTGAACATCTTATTCCCTATGTGGAAACTGAGCCATGGGGAGGTGAAGTGACTTGCCCAAGGTCATGTAAGATCAGTGTCAGAGCCAGAAACAAAACTCAGCTCACTTTACTCCAATCCCAGGGTTATCTCTGCTGACCCTGTTGTTGTACATCAAATTCCAAAACAGCCAGAGCAAATCTGGTTTGCCCATGTGCTTTCTTGATGTTTCTGAGTCATCATTTTCAGGAACACTGAAATGTCATCTTGTCATTTGCACATTGCATTATCATGCTCTTTTGAGCTCTGGCTCAGGCCTTTCTTATCCTTCTTGGAAAACTAGTCACTTTCTTATTATAGTTAACTGTTCATTCAAAGCCAGCTTTGGGTCAACTTGTTCCATTTTGGCTCTGAAAAATTCACAGCTGAGATATATACTTAGCTAAGGAAAAGATATTGAACTCTGAATGATTCATCAAACCTACTATGCCAAAATTCCTTCAGCTGTCAACCAAGAGGAGAATTTTTCATAATAGGGTAACACAAATAACTAATAATCATTTCCACTGGTTCACATTTTAAAGTGTAGTTTCACACTGAAAAAGCAACTATAAAAACAATATTGTGAAGCTTTTTATCATTTCAAGGGTGTATAGAACAAGTGGCTGAGTGAAAATAAGCTGTCTCTAATCTCCAGCTCTGCAAACTCAACCTGAGAGTGAAGCTGGCTCTTTCTGTATTATAGATTCTGCAATTACAACTTATTTAAGAATTTGTTAGAGATGGACTAGACGCCTTCTCAATTTCCCATACCTATTTTAGCTTTGTGGTGTGAACACAGTTAAAAAATAGTAAAAACATGATTTAGTTGATAAGAACATAAAAATGGCTGTATTGGGTCAGAACAAAGGCCCATCTAGCCCAGTAGCCTGTCTGCCAACAGTGGCCAGCACCGGGTGCCCCAGAGAGGGTGGACCGAAGACAATGATCAAGCGATTTGTCTCCTGCCATCCTTCTCCAGCCTCTGACAAACAGAGGCTAGGGACACCATTTCTATCCCCTGGCTAATAGCCTTATATGGACCTAACCTCCATGAAATTATCTAGCTTCTCTTTAAACTCTGTTATAGTCCTAGCCTTCACAGCCTCCTCTGGCAAGGAGTTCCACTGGTTGACTATGCACTGTGCAAAGAAGAATTTTCTTTTATTAGTTTTAAACCTGCTACCCATTAATTTCATTTGGTGTCCTCTAGTTCTTCTATTATAGGAACTAATAAATAACTTTTCTTTATTCACCCTCTCCACCCCACTGAAGTGACACTGAAGATGTACAAGAATAGACCTGTTGAGGAAGAAGAGGCCAGTTTCAGAGAGTAAAACTGGACTTTAAAATCCATTTTTTTTGTTTGAGAACTCTCTCATTTAACAAGAATCATCATATTCCCTATTTGAAATCTTTCTCCTGCCCTCAATATTTTCTTTAAAAAAGTAATTTGTATCAAACTCATTTATTTAGATTTGTTTTTGCATGAATGTAAATCAAATAATTTAATTTGAAATATTCTATTCCCCTGTCACTTATATATCTGATTACTCAGACCTGCGCAATGAAATTATGATAGATTGTTCTTATAACAGAGATCCAAATATATAGTATTTCAAATCTGGGTTATTAAATGAAAACAAAGAGAAATAAGCATTAGTATTATAAGACAATCATCTGAAAAAATAATGATCTATGCTTCTATCATGCTCCCATGACAATCAGTGATTAATTTTTAATTGGCATCAATGGAAACAAAATGGAGCCTTTAACATATAAACGGGTTGCAACTCCATTGAACTGAATGGAATTTCACACCCTCTTACACCAGGTCTGCTTATCGCCACTGGTTTCAAGTGTGGAAATTATAAAGCCAGAATTCAGAGCAATATCCAATGACAACGCTATCAGTGCTTGATCCTGCAAGGTGTTGAGTGACTCCTGATCTTCTTCAGTTCCCTTTGAAATCAAGGGCTCAAGTCTGCACCAGCTCAAGTCAAGGAATTCAGTGGAAGCAGAATTGGGCCCGATGGTAATCAAAAGGGCAAAGCACTTGCAGGATCAGGTCCCCTGTCCTGACAAACTGTCAAGAGGGCAGTTGGATGGAACGGATTGAAATTACGTCAGTAGCTGAGTGAAGGAGCAAATGGCGCAGAGAAGGTCTGATAAAGTTCAATAACAACCTTCACATGGTTTCAGGCAGTGGTTACAGTTCTGAAAGGAATCCTTGACCCTAATTTAATTATAGCAACATTAGTGCATGTGCTTACACATTTTCCATGCTTTTCATCATTACCTGATGGAGGGGAAAAGAGTCAAGGTAGATAGTATCCCCAAAAGGACACTGAATCTTGTGATGGTACCACATGCTCTGTTTGTTCTCTGCACTGACCAACTCTGAGACAGTTCCCTCATCCGTCCATTCCCATTATGAAGTGATTTGCAGCCCCTTCGTAACTCCAAATACATGAACTGTACTTTGTGCCCCCTCCCCTTTCCTACATGTATCTCTGTGCCATGGAAGGGAAATGGACAATCTGACCCTTAAGTTTTGGAGGATGGTTATTACCTGAATCTGATTCCTAAATATGTTAGCTTAATTTTAGTACAAGTCCCGACTCCTGGCAAGAGTGCCATAAGTGTGGGAAACAAATTCTGCTCATAGTGACATGAATGCAACCCCCTTTCTCCCTGGCAAAATGAATGGAATTGTGTTGCTCAAGCTCTTTCATATCCATGCAGAACAGAGAAGGACTCCATTTTCAGGCTTAATCCAAAAGAATCTCACACAGTAAATTTTACTGCAATATTCTTGTCCTACACCATTGTGTCCTATGGCATTACACCCCAGAGGATCAGAATAGAGGTTGCAGGGAGCCCACACATTTCAAACAATGACATCTTCAAAAGGCTGATTCTCCCTTGCTAAGGCTCCCCAAAAGCTCTTTAAGTTCACCCAAGTTATCTGTGTGAATTTGGTATTTGTAGAAAAGTATATTGAGTTGTACACCCTCAGGTTAGAGCCCATTCTTAAACATGCTAGAGGGGACATAAGCCTTAGATAACCCTTATTAGCAAACGGTGCACTCCTGCATGCCTGCAAACTTTCAGTTTCTGCTTATTCAGGGAGGTAAAACCCTACTTATTTTTTCCTATTATATGGTCTGTTTATTCACAGAACAGGTATATGACCTCGTCAGTGATAAGGCAATGCAACTCCACCTCAGAGCTATTGTACAACCAATGCGCCTCAAGCCTGAGATGAAGCCAAACATCTAGGCTGTGTCTGCATTGCATACTTCTTGCGCAAGAACATCCGTTCTTGCACAAAAACTTGCCGGCTGTCTACACTGCACGCGTGTTCTTGCGCAAGTAAATTTACAGTATAGTGTCGGAAAACAGGGCTTCTTCCAGAAGAGTTATTCCTCTCCCCACGAGCTCTTCCACAAGAGAGCAGTGTGGACAGGCAACATGAATTTCTTGCGCAAGAAGCTCCTATGGTTAAAAAGGCCATCAGAGCTTTCTTGCGGAAGAGAGTGGCCACACTGTCATGGATGCTCTTGTGCAAAAGCACATGGCAGTGTGGACACACT